TGCCCTGTGGTTCCACATGGTGCCCCGTGGTGGCACACAGGCACACAGTGCCCCACAGTGTCACACGGTGCCCTGTGGTTCCACATGGTGCCCCGCGGTGGCACGCGGGGTCACACAGTGTCCCATAGTACCCCGCAGTGCCCCGCGGTGTCCCCCCAGGGTGTCACACGGTGGCACGCGGTGCCATGTGGTGCCCCACAGTGTCACACAGTGCCCCGCGATGTCCCCCCGCAGTGTCACACAGTGACACACAGTGTGATGTGGTGTCCCGCGGTGCCATGTGGTGGCACACAGTGGCACATGGTGGCATAGGGTGCCCCACGATGTCACACGGTGCCCCGCGGTGTCCCCCCGCGGTGGCACACAGTGACACACGGTGCCCCGCAGTGCCACACAGTGTCACACCGCATCACTCAGTGTCCCGCGGTGCCCCGTGGTGCCCCCGCAGTGTCACGCAGTGTCCCGCAGTGCCCTGCGGTGCCCCGCGGTGTCCCCCCATGGTGGCACACAGTGACACACGGTGCCCCGCGGTGTCACGCAGTGCCCCGCGGTGCCATGCGGTGTCCCCCCACCCCGCTCACCTGCACGCGGCGCCGGGCGGGCGCGCCGCGCTGGTACCAGCAGCCGTGCTCCAGCCAGAGGCGCAGCAGCTCGAGCGGCGCGGCGGCCGCCCGCGCGGCCAGCGCGGCCACGAAGGCGGCGACGCGGCGGCCGCGCGCGGGCACGTAGGTGCCCTGCGTGCGCTTCTCCACGCGGCTGCGCAGCGCCGCGCGCAGCGCCCGCGCCGAGCTCTGCGGGCACACGCGGCTCGCCACGGCGGCCTGCCCGCGGCCCTGCGCACGTCCTGCCCATATCCCTGCCCGCGGCCCTGCCCATGTCCTGCCCATGTCCTGCCCGTGTCCCTGCCCATGTCCTGCCAATGTCCTGCCCGTGTCCCTGTCCATGTCCTGCCCACATCCTGCCCATGTCCCTGCCCATGTCCTGCCCATGTCCCTGCCCATGTCCTGCCCGTGTCCTGCCCGTGTCCTGCCCATGTCCTTGCCCATGTCCTGCCCACATCCTGCCCATGTCCCTGCCCATGTCCTGCCTGTGTCCCTGCCCGTGTCCCTGCCCATGTCCTGCCCGTGTCCTGCACATGTTCCTGCCCATGACCTTCCCCATGTCATGCCCATGTCCCTACCCATGTCCCTGCCCGTGGCCCTGCCCATGTCCCTGCCCGTGGCCCTGCCCATGTCCCTGCCCGCAGCCCCAGGCTCTGCCCGCAGCCCCTGCACCGCAACCCCTCACCCTGTTCCCCCACTGCATCCCCCTGCATCGTGTCCCTCTGCGTGGTCCCCCACCAGGTCCCCTCTCTGTGTCCCCTTGCCACATCCCCACACCGTGTCCCCTCTCCGTGTCCCCTCTCCGTGTCCCCTTGCCATGTCCCCCATGTCCCCCCACCATGTCCCCCCGCGGTGTCCCCTCTCCGTGTGCCCCTGTGCCACCTCCTTGCACTGCATCCCCTCTCCGTGTCCCCTCTCCTCATCCTCCTGTGTCCTCCCTCTCCATGTCCCCCCATGCCACGTTCCCCCGATGTGTCCCCGCACTGGGTCACCCATGTCCCCTCTCCGCACACCCCTGTGCCACATCCCGCTGCTGCATCCCCTCTCTGTGTCCGCTGTCTGTGTCCCCTCTGTGTGTCCCCTTCTGTGTCCCCTCTGTGTGTCCCCCTCTGTGTCTCCTCTGCGTGTCCCATGTGTCCCCCTCCATGTCCCCTCTCCATGTCCCCCCGTGTCCCCTCCCCATGTCCCCCCTCCATGTCCCCTCTGTGTGTCTCCTCTCGGTGTCCCCCCTTGGTGTCCCCTCTGCGTGTCTCCTCTCCATATCCCTCTGCGTGTCCCCTCTCCATGTCCCCCCGTGTCCCCTCTCCGTGTCCCCCCTCCGTGTCCCCGCTGCATGTCCCCCCTCTGGGTCTCCCCTCTGGGTGTCCCCTGTGGGTGTCCCCTGCGGGTGTCCCCTGCGGGTCTCCCCTATGGGTGTCCCCTGTGGGTGTCCCCTGTGGGTGTCCCCTGCGGGTGTCCCCTCTGGGTGTCCCCTCTGGGTCTCCCCTGCGGGTGTCCCCTGTGGGTGTCCCCTGTGGGTGTCCCCTGCGGGTGTCCCCTCTGGGTCTCCCCTCCGGGTGTCCCCTGCAGGTGTCCCCTGTGGGTGTCCCCTGCGGGTGTCCTCTGTGGGTGTCCCCTGTGGGTGTCCCCTGCAGGTGTCCCCTGTGGGTGTCCTCTGTGGGTGTCCCCTGCGGGTGTCCCCTGTGGGTGTCCCCTGTGGGTGTCCCCTGCGGGTGTCCTCTGTGGGTGTCCCCTGTGGGTGTCCCCTGCGGGTGTCCCCTCCGGGTGTCCCCTGCGGGTGTCCCCTCTGGGTGTCCCCTGCGGGTGTCCCCTGCGGGTGTCCCCTCTGGGTGTCCCCTGCGGGTGTCCCCTCTGGGTGTCCCCTGTGGGTGTCCCCTCCGGGTGTCCCCTGCGGGTGTCCCCTCCAGGTGTCCCCTGCGGGTGTCCCCGCGCTGTCACCTGTGCCGAGAGGCTGATGCAGAGCGTGTCCCAGCGGGCGCTGTCGAGGCCCTGCAGCAGCGCCGTGGCGAGCGCGGTCTTGCCGGCGCCCGGCGGCGCCACGAGCAGCACGGGGCTGCCCGCGGCCAGCAGCGCCCGCGCCACGTGCTGGTAGCGCGCCGTGTCCACCGTGGGCACCAGCACCTCGTAGAAGGGCGCGCTGGGGACAGGGGGGCGGCGGGTGTCACCCTGGGCACTGCCCGGGGGGCCGCGGGACTGGCCGCGGGGCTTGGGGACAGGTCATGGGGCTTGGGGACAGGACACGGGGTTTGGGGACAGGCCGTGGGGTTTGGGGACAAGCTGTAGGGCTTGGGGACAGAACACAGGGCTTGGGGACAGGCTGCGGGGCTTGGGGACAAGCTGTAGGGTTTGGGGACAGGACAATGGGCTTGGGGACAGGCTGCGGGGCTTGGGGACAAACTGTAGGGTTTGGGGACAGGCTGTGGGGTTTGGGGCAGGACACAGGACTTGGGGGCAAGACACGGGGTTTGGGGACAAGCTGTGGGGCTTGGGGACAAGCTGTGAGGTTTGGAGACAGGCTGTGGGGCTTGGGGACAGGACAATGGGCTTGGGGACAGGCTGTGGTGGGATGAGCCTGGGATGGTCCATGGAGCCCAGGGATGGTCCATGGAGCCCAAGAATGGTCCATGGAGCCCAGGGATGGTCCATGGAGCCCAGGGATGGTCAGTGGAGCTCAGGAATGGTCCATGGAGCCTGGGAATGGTCCATGGAGCTGAGGGATGGCCCATGGAGCTCGGGAATGGTCCATGGAGCCCAGAGATGGTCCATGGAGCCCAGGGATGGTCCGTGGAGCCCGGGAATGGTCCATGGAGCCCAGGGATGGTCCGTGGAGCTCTGGAATGGGCCATGGAGCCCGGGAATGGTCCATGGAGCCCGGGGATGGTCCATGGAGTTCAGGAATGGTCCATGGAGCCCAGGAATAGTCCATGGAGCCCGGGGATGGTCCATGGAGCCTGGGATGGTCCATGGAGCCCGGGAATGGCCCATGGAGCCCAGGGATGGCCCATGGAGCCCAGGGATGGTCCATGGAGCCCGGGAATGAGCCATGGAGCCCAGGGATGGTCCATGGAGCCGCGGTGCCCCGTGCGGAGGTGCCCAGCGCCGCGTGCCCCGCGCTCACTCAGGCTGGTAGCGCCAGGCGGGCGGCAGCAGCTCCTCGAAGGGGGCCCAGCCCTTCTTCTTGGGGTCCACGAAGTAGTCGTAGACGGTGTCCTGCGGGGACGGTGAGGGCACCGCAGTGCCGCGCGCCGCCCCGGGCGCCCCGCGCGCGCGCCCCACCTTGCTGGGGAAGGAGGCGTCCATCTCGCGCAGCCAGGCGTCCAGGCGCTTGCGGCCGCCCTCGTCCACGGCGCCGCCCACGGCCCACACGAGGCTGAAGAGGAAGAGGAGCTCGAGCAGCGCCGGGTCGGTGCCGCCGGCCGCCACCTGCGGGGACAGCGGCCACCGTCGGGACGGCTCCGCGGGGGCACCCCGGCGGGCAGGCGGGAGCGGGCTGGGGCACCCTGGGGCACCCGGGGGATGAGCACGGGGCACCCTGGGGAGCGTGGGGACATCCTGAAGGGCAGGGGGACAAGTGCGGGGGGTGACAGGGGATGTGTTGGGGGGCACCCCGGGGTGCACGGGGGTGGGCATGGGACACACGGGCAGAGCTGCAGCAACAGCGAAAGGGCAGAAATGCCCCTCCAAAAGTGCTGCAGAAAGGGGCAGAATTGACCCCAAAAGGGCATAAATGCAAAAAAAACCCCCAAAACATAGAAATGTCCACTAGAAAAGCAGAAATGCTGCAAAAAGGGGTGGAAACGTCCCCAATTGGGGCAGAAATGTCCCCAATTGGGGCAGAAACGCCCCCAAAAGGGAGGCAGAGCAGCAAAAGCGGCGGAATTTGGGCAGAGCGGAGGACGGAGGCCGCGTCCCCGGGCTCGTCCCCACGGTCCCCACGTTGTACCCTGTCGGGCGGCGGGGCCAGCGCGTCCAGCAGGTCACAGAGGGAGGTGACGGCGCCGTGCGGGCTCAGGGCGAGCGGCTCGTGGCACGAGGCCGCCTTGAAGGCCAGCAGCGGCTCCAGGAACTTGTCGAAGAGGCGCTGGAGCGGCTCCGCCTCGGCCTGCGCGGGGACGTGCCCGGTGACACCGCCACGAGCTCGGTGACACCGGGGATGGGCCCGGTGACACCAGGGACGGGCACGGTGACACCGCAACGAGCCCGGTGACATCGTCATGAGCCCGGTGACACCAGGGACGGGCACGGTGACACCACAACGAGCCCAGTGACACCAGGGATGGGCCCGGTGACACCAGGGACGCGCCCGGTGACACCGCAACGAGCCCAGTGACACCAGGGACGGGCACGGTGACACCAGTGATGAGCCCGGTAACACCGCCACGAGCCCGGTGACACCAGAGATGGGCCCGGTGACACTGGTGATGAGCCTGGTGACACTGGGGTGAGCCCAGTGACAACAACAGGCATGGGCCTGGTGACACCGCCACGAGCCCGGTGACACCAGGGATGGGCCTGGTGTCACACTGGGGACAGTCCCAGCTTCCCGGGCTAGGTTGTGCTGTGTCCCCCTGGGGATGTCAGCCTCCTGGTATTCCCTGGGGCTGGACTGGGCGGTGTCCCCCCGGGGACATCCTTGGTGTCACCCTGGGGACAGTGCCAGCCTGCCGCTGTCCCCTCTGGGATGTCCCTGGTGTCACCTTGGGGACAGTGCCAGCCTGCCGGTGTCCCCCCAGGGCTGGGTTGGGCAGCGTCCCTGGTGTCACCCTGGGGACAGTGCCAGCCTGCCGCTGTCCCCTCGGGGATGTCCCTGGTGACACTGGGGACAGTGCCAGCCTGCCGCTGTCCCCTCGGGGATGTCCCCAGTGTCACACTGGGGACAGTGCCAGCCTCCCGGTGTTCCCCCGGGGACGTCCCTGGTGTCACCCTGGGGACAGTGCCAGCCTGCCGCTGTCCCCTCTGGGATGTCCCCGGTGTCACCCTGGGGACAGTGCCAGCCTGCCGGTGTCCCCCGGGTCCCCGTCGGTACCTGGGGCCGGGAGCGCAGCCAGGCGCGCACGTGGGGCCGCCAGCCGCCGTAGGGGACGTAGACGACGCCGCAGCGGGACACGGCGGCGGGGGAGGCGCCCGCCAGCTCCTCCAGCTCCAGCAGCAGCCACACCTGCGGGGACAGGGGGGGTGAGGAGCGGGGACCCCCCCGCCGTGACCCCCCCCGCAAGGGTCCCCTCCGTGTCCCCTCCATGTCCCCCCCGCGCGTGTCCCCTCTGTGTGTCCCCACATCTCCCCGCTGTGTTCCCCCCATGTGTGTCCCTGCCGTGTCCCCCCCCACGTGTCCCCCCCGCACGTGTGCCCTGTGTGTCCCCTGCGTGTCCTCCCCGCGCGTCCCCTCCATGTCCTCCCCACACGTCTCTCCTGCGTGTCCCCACCGTGTCCCCCGCATGTCCCTGCCATCTCCTCCACGTCCCCCTGTGCATGTCCCCTCCATGTCCCCTGCGTGTCCCCGTCGTGTCCCCTCCATGTCCCCTCCATGTCCCCCTGCGCATGTCGCCTGTGTGTCCCCTCTGTGTCCCACCTGCATGTCTCTTGCACGTCCCCTCCATGTCCCTGCTGTGTCCCCTCTGTGTCCCCCGTGTGTCCCTTCCCTGTCCCCTCCATGTCCCCTCCATGTCCCCCCTGGGTGTCCCTGCCGTGTCCCTTCCATGTCCCATGTGTGTCCCCACTGTGTCATCCCGTGTATCCCCTCCATGTCCCCGCTGTGTCCCCTCCGTGTCCCTGCTGTGTCCCCTCTGTGTCCCCCGTGTGTCCCTTCCCTGTCCCCTCCATGTCCCCTCCATGTCCCCCCCGGGTGTCCCTGCTGTGTCCCTTCCATGTCCCCCCCGCACGTCCTCTGCGTGTCCCCACAGTGTCCCACCTGCATGTCCCCTCCATGTCCCCTCCATATCCCCTCTGGGTGTCCCTGCTGTGTCCCTGCCATGTCCCCTCCATGTCCCTGCTGTGTCCCTTCCATGTCCCCTCCATGTCCCCTCTGGGTGTCCCTGCTGTGTCCCTGCCATGTCCCCTCCATGTCCCTGCCGTGTCCCTTCCATGTCCCATGTGTGTCCCCACTGTGTCATCCCGTGTATCCCCTCCACGTCCCCACCGTGTCCCCTCCGTGTCCCTGCCGTGTCCCCTCCATGTCCCCTCCATGTCCCCCCCGCACGTCCTCTGCGTGTCCCCACAGTGTCCCACCTGCATGTCCCTTCCATGTCCCCTCCATGTCCCTGCTGTGTCCCCTCTGTGTCCCCCATGTGTCCCTTCCCTGTCCCCTCCATCTCCCCTCCATGTCCCCCCTGGGTGTCCCTGCTGTGTCCCTTCCATGTCCCCTCCATGTCCCCTCCATGTCCCCCCTGGGTGTCCCTGCTGTGTCCCTTACATGTCCCCCCCGCACATCCTCTGCGTGTCCCCACAGTGTCCCACCTGCATGTCCCCTCCATGTCCCCTCCATGTCCCCCCTGTGCGTGTCCCCTGCGTGTCCCCCCGCCGTGTCCCCCGCCGCGGCGCGCCCCGCTCGCCTGCGCGGGCAGCGCGATGCGCTCGCCGCTGCCCAGGGGCAGCACGCGGCACTCGTCCAGCGCGGGGTGCAGCGCGTCCAGCCAGAGCGGCGCCGCGGGGCCGTCCAGCACCAGCCACGTCGCCTCCTGCCTCTCCTCTGCGGCGGCCGCGCCCGTGGGTGCCCCCGCGCACCGCGGGGTGCCCCCGGACACCCGCTACGTCCCATGTCCCGGGGGGTCCCCTGGGGCAGCCCAGCGAGTCTGTCCCTGGGTGTTCCAGGGTGTCCCCACATGTCCCGGGGTGTCCCTGTGCACCCCAGGGTGTCCCCCTTCATGTCCTGGGGTGTCCCCCCGTGCCCCAGGGTGTCCCCATACACTCCAGGGTGCCCCTGTGTGCCCCAGGGTATCCCCCCATGTCCCAGGGTGTCCCCCTGCGTCCCAAGGAGTCCCCGTATGCCCCAGGGTGTCCCTGTGCACCCCAGGGTGTCCCCATACACTCCAGGGTGCCTCTGTGTGCCCCGGGGTGTTCCCATGTGCCCCAGAGTGTCCCCGTGCACCCCCAGGGAGTCCCCGTGCACCCCAGGGAGTCCCCCCATGTCCCAGGGTGTCCCCCTGCACCCCAGGGTGTCCCCATGTGCCCCAGGGAGTCCCTGTGCACCCCAGGGTCTCCCCGTGCACCCCAGGGTGTCCCCCTGCACCCCAGGGTGTTCCCGTGCACCCCAGGGTGTCCCCGTGGGCCCCAGGGCACCCCGGGGCGCCCCGCGCACCGGCGCAGGCGTCGCGCAGCAGCGCGGCGAGGACGCCGTCCTGCCAATCGCCCGTGTCGGGGTCGTACTCGCCGTAGAGCTCGCCCGGCGCCAGCGCCGCCGGGTTGAGCACCACCTCCTGCCACGGGCGCGGGGACGGTGACCCCGGCTCCCCGCGGCCCCCCCTCCCGGCACCCATGTCCCCGGGTCCCTGGGTCCCCGTGTCTCCTGCTGGTTCCCCCCTCCCAGCACCCATGTCCCTGTGTCCCCAGGTCCCCACGTCCCCTGCTGGGTCCCCTCCTCCCGGCACCCATGTCCCCATGTCCCCGTGTCCCCCTACTGGGTCCCCTCCTCCCAGCACCCATGTCCCCATGTCCCCATGTCCCCGTGTCCCCTGCTGGTCCCCACCTCCCAGTGTTCCCTTGTCCCCATGTCCCCACCTCCCCATGTGTCCCCACATGTCCCCACGCATCCCCACACGTCCCCACACATCCCTACGTGTCCCCAGTGTCCCCATGCGTCCCCACGTGTCCCCACACATCCTCACGCATCCTCATGAGTCTCCATGTGTCTCCACACATCCTCACATGTCCCCATGCATCCCGTGTCCCCACTCGTCCCCATGGGTCCCCAGTGTCCCCACATGTCCCCATGTGTCCCTGCCTGTCCCCCCGTGTCCCCAGTGTCCCCTCGTGTCCCCAGTGTCCCTATGTGTCCCTACTTGTCCCCACTCATCCCCATGTGTCTCTGCACATCCCCACACATCCCCACACATTCCCATGTCCCCACTCGTGCCCATGTGTCCCCAGTGCCCGCACATGTCCCCACATGTCCCCACTTGTCCCCACTTGTCCCCACTCATCCCCA